TCTCTTTCAAAATTGGCTGTAAATTTTGAGGGTCACAGTTAAAACCTCATTCAATTTTATGTCTTATAAGGGTTATACTGAGTTCAATATTGTATAACTGTATTAATTCAACTGTGAACCTAAAATTTTATAGCCACTTTTGAAAGATGCTTCTCTTTCAAAATTGGCTGTAAATTTTGAGGGTCACAGTTAAAACCTCATTCAATTTTATGTCTTATAAGGGTTATACTGAGTTCAATATTGTATAACTGTATTAATTTAACTGTGAACCTCAAAATTTACAGCTAATTTTGAAAGAGAAGCATCTTTGCTCTGGAAATTGTTATTGAATATGTTAATGCTGTAATGAAATGCTTCTAATCATGTGGTTATTAAATAATTTAAAAAAAAAAGGGGAAAAGTTTATTTTGGCTCATAGTTTGTGAGAATTTAATCTATCATTGTGAGCAAAGCATGGTGGCAGGAATGTGACATGGCTGATCACATCATGTCCTAAGTCAAGAAGCAGAGAGATGAATATTGGCCTTCATCTGGCCTCTTCCTCTTTCCTTTTTTATTCCAAAAACTGGCCATAGAATTGTGCCACCACAATCTGGGTAGATTTTTTTCTTCACTTGACCCTCTCTGATAATACCCTTAGACACACATTCATAGGTATATCTACTAAGTGATTCCATATCTGGTCATGTTGACAATGAAGACTAACTATCAAAATGTATTTGGTTTGGGGAGTTGTTTCGAGGTAGGATCTTGCCATTTGTCTAAGTTCGCCTTGAATTCACCAACCTCTTGTCCCAGTGTCCTGAGTGTTAGGATTACAGGTAAACACCACCACTATACCTGGCAATCTACTATTTTCCTGTAGCTCTGCCTCCCTCTAACTCACTTTGAAGGAAAAATCTGTCATTGACCTAATTAATTACATTTTATGCCTTCTCTGGCTCTATTTTAGCTCCTTAATTCTTTTTTTTCTCCTAAATTGCTCTTTTCTTCAGTTACCTTGGATTCTGGGAATGACTGATTGATAAACATATTTATGGCAGGGAATTAAGCCTAGAAGGACAAATCACCTCAGGATGAGATCACTCTTGCAAGTGGTAACAATTAACCTATGCTAGGAACAGGCTGCACCCTGTCATAGGAGCAATTGCATTATAGGAGCTGGATTATTCCCCTCAAATCAACATAGGAATAGAGATTTCTCCAGAATCCATTGTAGAACCAGAACTAAGATCATGGTCAATCAGACCACTAGCCCCCCTGAAACTACTTGCCCTGTCATTTATGCCAACCCCCAGCTATGCAAACTTCCAAAGCTGCCTATGGTTCACTTTCCTATGAATTCTCAAAGTTCCTATCAACAGACTTCAAGCCACTGAAAACATATACTCCCATATCTGTTTTTCCCAATGTGACTACATTGATTAAAGCACCAGAGTTTATCTCTCACCACTGTGCATAGTTAACTGACATACTGGGATACGTGGCTGAGCATAATCCACTGGGACATCAGAGCTGGAGTTTGGGATCTAAAATTATGGTAATACCCTTACAGAGGAAAATAATTTTGAAATTATCAACTCATTTCTTTTCTGTTTTGTTTGCTGGTTTTGTTTTGAGACAAGGTCTCACAGTGCAACTCAGGCTGGAACTTACTATACAGCCAAAGCTGACCTCAAACTCACAGCAATCATCCCACTACAGTCTCCCAGCTGCTTGCATCATAGGTGTGAATACCATGCCTGGTGTTCAATCTGCTTCTTATTCTTTGTTTCTGTTTACTTCATTTTTTCACTGTCTATAAAACTGACCTCTTCGTGCCATCAGAATACTGATTTTATTTTATGGAAAAAAGTGTTGATTCCAAAAGTGTAAAATAAAGGTAATCAAGATCTTTAAATTGAATTTGTTATATTTAAGTTTTGTAATTAAGCAAAAAGGACTGTTGTGCTTTCTTTTTTAAAAAAGTATTTTATTTATTATTTTTATTTTATGTGTTTGAGTGTATTGCCTGCATGTTTGTGAGTGCACCCGTGTTGTGCAATGCCACAGAGGTCAGAAGAGGGCTTCAGATTCCCCTGGAACTGGAGTTAAGGATGGTTGGTAGCTGCCATGTGGGTGCTGGGAATCGAACCTGGGTCCTCTGCAAGAGCAGTCAAGTGTTCTTCACTGCTGAGCCATCTCTCCAGCCCCTGTTGTGCTTTCTTTCAGTTGTTTTTACTGAACATTGTTAAGTTCAGCTGATTAGGGCCCTAGGAAGTAGGATCCCTACAGAATATAGCATGCTGGGAGTGAAAATGGCCCACCCAGAGGGCCTCATCTCTGGCACCAGAGGAAAGACCCTTCGTCTATTTCCAAGAACTTGGGCCACCAGCTAAATCAACATTGTGTATTTCTTACATTTTTTTTTTTTTGTCTTTTTAAAATTTGTTTTTGTTGAATTTTTGTGTATTTTTTACAGAATATCTCAAAGAATCTTGATCATCTTTATACCTTCGTCCCCACCACTACGCTACCATAGCCCCTGCACTGAAATCCGCGTACTCTGTCATTTGTATTAAGGCCCGATGTGTCAAGTCAGTGTTCCCAGACGTTCCCCTGTGCAAGTCCATCCACTGAGGTCTACTCAGTCTATCTAGTATATGTTTGTTTTGTCTTTTACTGTTTTGTCTTTTTAATGTAGGGTCTGACTAAGAATTTTTCTTTTCCCGGGTTTTGGCTAAAACTACAAACAAGTGCATTTATTCATGTTTAAATGTGCTATGTTCTTTCTTCTGAATGAGAGTGAGCATTTGGACACAATGCCCAAGCGTGACCATGGGCTCTGGTAGCTGAGTTTGCTTGGGCCACAGAGGGACAGCAGCTAGTGGCATCATCTGATGTGACACTCCCAGAGTTCCTGCTCCTGGCTCACCAACATCCAACAGATATGAACGAGTTCCTGCAGCAGGGAACCTGTCTTCTTTCAGAGCACTTTCTTTTTTTTCCCCGTTTAGCCAGCCTACCTGACCCTTTGCCAGCTGTGATGAAATGGAAAAGTGACTGCTTTGGACTCTGCAGAGTCGGAGTTGGTTTCCTTGATGAACTCTAGGGCTAGTGAACAGCAGCTCTCGCTTTTCTTTTGTTTTCCTGTTTTTATGAATTTTATTTCATTTGTGGCTTCCTGTGTGTCTTCTGGGTTTCTCTTTTGCCTCAAAAATATTCCAACTCTTGGACAAGACAATTTAGATTCTTTGTGCTTTGTTTTCAATTTGTGAGGATGCTGAGAGTCATAGAAAAACAAATGTATTTGGAAATCTGTGTTGTGGTTATTCTAATTACCTGCTCCAGTTCTGTGAGAAAAACACTGACCAAAACAAACGTGGGAAGGAAAAGGTTTATTTGGTATACAGCACAGTCCATCATCAAGGGAAGTCAAAGCAGGAACTCAGGGCAGGAACCACGGAAGACCACTGCTTACTGCCTTGCTGCTCAGGCCTGTGCTCTGCCCGCTTTCTTATACAACACAAGACCAGCTGCCCAGGGGTCCACAGTGGGCTAAGCCTTCCCACATCACTCAAAAATCAAGAAAATGCCCCGCAGACATGGTCACAGGTCAATCAAATGGAGGAAATTCCTCAACTGATATTCCCTCTACCCAGGTGTGTCAAGCAGAAAACCAAAGTTATCCAGCACAGTGGTATGTATGAGAACAAAAAGCACTAATTCTACTGTGAAACTCCTTAGAAGAACTTTGATTATGACTTAGTAAATGATGACTTTCTACAGTCATAGACATGGCATATGTAACTGAACGTGCATTCTCAATCAAAGCAAATGCTTTCCTTGAAGTCCCTGTCTAGAGTACCTGTGAATGCTCTATTTCTGCCTTTTGAGTTCATGTCCTTTACTTTCTGGTGAATTCTCATTTTAGTTCTATGTACTTCACACACACACACACACACACACACACGCACGCACGCGCACTCGTGCACGCACGCACGCGCACACACACACACATACACATTTGGTTTGTCATTTTGGTTTGGTTTGTTTGACTAGAGCTCTTGGCTGTCTAACAACTCTATCCTTTCTCTTAAGATAGCCTATTACCAGGGGCTGGAGAGATGGCTCAGTGGTTAAGAACACTGGTTGTTCTTGCAGAAGACCTGGATTCAAATCCTGCACCCATATGGCAGCTAACAACTGTCTGTAACTCCAGTCCCAGGGGATATGACAGCCTCTTCTGACCTCAGTGGGCATTGTACGACACAGGTGCGCTTACCTACATGCAGGCAATACATGCATACACATAAAATTAAAATAATAAATTTAAAAAAATTTTTAAAAAGCATATTATTCAAATTTACTTGGAGAATTATTTTACATCCAGCTATGACTGGCTATCAGATATAAAATATTCAGATTGTTTGGAACTGACAGAAATAAGAGAAAAGTTTAAAAAGAAACATATTTCAACAATTAAAAAAAATTGACTGATCATTTATAAGGATGGTAAATCTTAAAGTTTAGCCATATAACCAAATGGCTCAGCTCACTTCCATATAGATTAGGTAAATTTACATTACATGTTGTTTTGTCTTATAACTAAAAAGTTATCATAAATAGACTTTTGACCAATTTAAATTTGGCAAGATTAAAAATGTGTTCAGCACTGTTGACATTTTGTTTGTTACATTTTAGCCTTCCAGACCTCAATACAGCAAATGGGGAATTTCTTTTGTCGAAGACATAACTTAAGTACTGACTACACTTGTCTGGTGTCTTAAATCTGAAAGTGACTTGAAAAGTCACCTAAATCTATATGAAATGTGGTCAGTTTATAAATGCATAGACACAGATGAAATGCCTGCTCTGTTGCAAGGAAGTTAAAGCAGCAAACATTTCCCAATATCAGTTCAAGAACTCCTAGTTTCTTTAAAATTTTTATTGAATGTATAATATATTTGAGTCTATTAAACATGTTTCATGAATTGTTCACAACAACAAAATTACTTAGGGTGCTTGCTTCAGCAGCACACATACTAAAACTGGAGAGATACAAAGATTAGCAAGGCCCATGTACACGAACGACGTACAAATTTGTGAAACGTTCATCTGTTTTTTAAAAAGGCCACTTTAGTTTGCCATCAAGAGACATATGATCCTTAGTGAGTTTAAGAAAAGCCAATTTAGAGGGAATATAAGTAACTGGAAATGAAGATTTTACTTAAAGTACACGTTCATCTAATATAAGCCAATAATTTAGAGGAATAAGCTTTAAGCAATAAAGCTTTGAGCTGATTAAAGACCATATTTGTCCATCAACCTAATTCTGTAATTCACAAAAGGGCAATTCATTTGATATTTGAATTATGAAATAGTTACCATCTTAAGTAGCAGTCAGTTTTAGAAATACATCTTTCTGTTTTTTCTGGAAAGACCCATCAATAAAGGTTATTCTAAGTAGAGCTAATAAGTTCAATTTACTTAGCTTATTAATGAGATAGGCTTATTGTCTGAACTAATAGAAATAGTCTCAACAGAGGCTCAATGGCCTTTCTTTTCTGGACTGGGTGAGCTGTTGCTGTTTTTCTATCTATGGCTTACTTAGTATCTTAAAAATATGTTTTCAAATGTCTTTGAAATAAAACCTCACACTATTTGGAACCAAATTCTTAGGTTTTTCACACTGCAGATAAGTTGTTTTTAATGACTGTAGCACTTGTATCTATGAATAGTATCACTGGTGTGTCTGGAGTGTGGATATATAAAAAATCTGAGTTGATCCACAAATACTTGGAATTCCACAAATGAGACCAACACATTAAGTATAGCAAACTAAATTCTAAGGAGTCTATAATTAAGATATTGTCAAAATTCTTAAATCCAAGAAATGTAATGTTATGTTTTATTTCTTTTCTATATTCTATGCCTAAAACAGGTGAAGAGAAACTGATGTTTGAAAAGTACTGATAGTGGCTGGGTAATGTGGCACATATCTGTAATCTCAAGATATAGGAGGTAGAGGCAGAAGGATCAGGGATTTAAGGTCAACCTCAGCTAATAGCAAGTTCAAGGCCAGACTGGGCTACACTACATCCAGCCTTTTTTAAAAAAGAAGCAAATAAAAAAAAGTACTAGTATCCTAATAATGGTTATGATTTCTAGGATGCCATTCCACAGCAATCGAAGGAGTACGATTATGCTGTGAATAAAGGCCTAAATGAGTGATAAACCATTATAGAAACTTTATTAAAAATGTCATGAAATTTATGTGTAATTAAGTTGACTATTGCCAAAAGGTTATTTATAGATTTTTCTAAAATCAAAATCTGAACATAGATATAAAATCAGAAGCCAAGCATCCTTAAAATATTGATCTGCTCTTAGTAAAATTTACAAAGGAACCTGCTTTAAAAAACATATTTTTGTATATCAGGATAATATTTCTTGTCTTTTGCCATTGGATTTTTTATTGCTTGAGAAACATAAATCTTGAAAAGTTAAAGTTTAAGCATCTGTTTTAAGATATTTTTGCATTTATTTATTTTATGTGTATGAGTGTTATGCCTGCATGTATGTAAGTGCACCTGTGCCATGTAGTGCCCAAGGCAGCCAGAAGAGGCTGTGGGATCCCCTGGAACTGAAATTACAGACGGTTGTTAGCTGTCATGTGAGTGCTGAGGTTAAAACAGGTCTTCTGCAAGAGCAGTCAGTGCTCTTAACCACTGAGCCATCTCTCCAGCCCCTGTTTGAAGAGTTTTTGAATAAGGTTTCACTTATAACTACTTAAATGAGATATTGTTTTGTAAATGCTTTATGGATACAAGTTTTATAAAAATTTAAAATCCTGATAGTTTTAAAATAACACTGTCTATCATGATTGTTGCCTTGACATGCTATTAAAAAAATAACTAAAGCTGGGTTGCTAAGTTACTAAAACCTCTACATATGTTATTACAGGCATTTTACTAAACCTGAGCCACAGCTTTATAAATCAGAAAAGGATAGTTTCGCTTTAATCATCCTTATTTCAAAGAAAACTTAAAATTAAAAATTTAATGTAAGATGCCTATAAGAAGACTGGCAATTTTAAAGAGGTTTTCTCAATTGCATTGCTTATAAAAACCTGAAAAACTAAGCTATATCACAAAGCATATTGAGCATATAACCAGTGATGTACATGTGTGTTCTTAAGTGGCAAATATGTGGTAGTTCTTACAGTCTGTATTCAGTTATTGCAATTCTGGAGTATGTGCCTAAAGAATTCTAAAGATGCTGTCATTAGAAACAGAACAAAGGCAGTTTGATTATTCAAATGCAATTCTTGATGCTATGTATAACTAAATTCTCTGAGAAATTAAAGTGTACGAAAAAAATAACTTGGCACTTTGCTACCTATTTTTCTTTATAATTTGCTAAATGTAAAATAATGTATTATATTCTCAAATGGTAACCTAGTAGAGTACTACTGTTTTGTTTTATTTTTATTACAATTTAGTGTGTGTGTGTGTGTGTGTGTGCATGTATGTACACTTGACTCAGCACACATATGGAGGACAGAGGACAACTTATGGGAGTTGATGCTCTCCTTTCACCATTTGAGTCCCAGGAAACAACTCAGGTCATCAGCCTAGGCGGCAAGTGGTTATAGCCACTGAACCACCTCACCAGCCACCCCAGAGTATGCAAATGCAATCTTCTGAGAGAACTAAGCTTATTTTACAAACAGATTGGTTTAATCCTGAAAGTATGGCATGTCAAAATTCTGGGTGAATGCAAGGTCTGTAGTAAGATGTTATCAGTATTTTAAACTATGTTGCAGGTAAACAGTCTAACAATAACTCTTTCTAATCTATTTCTTGCTCAAATTTGGCTTAAGGGATCATTTCCTTTACATTGCCCTTCCCAACACATGAGATTAAACTGATCATGAGACATGATCCTATCTACCCTCGATACTTCCCACATCTGTCATGGGGACCAAAGCACAGAATGGGTGATCAGCAATGAATTCAGAGAAAACATTTGTTCAGAGACAAAAGGCGAAATTGTCAAAATCAGAATGCCCTACAAAAAAAAAGTAGTAACTAGGAGCCAAACGGATCACAGGGAGCTCTGAACCAGGTTGCCTATCATTCCACTAGGTGGCGCTGTTAGATCTCGTCCAGCCTTGCCACCTGCTGCACTCCGCTTGTTCAGGCTTTGGCATAGATGCAGCTCTCATTTTGCGGATATGCTTCACGCGCTCTACAAAGAATCCAGGCATTAGTCTACTCAGTAATCAGTTATAGAGAGACGACAAAAGTCCTATGTCCCAGAAGACTGAAGAGTGGAAAAGGCAAGAATTATAATAGAACATTAGGAATTAAAACTGTGAGTGAAAACGGCCAGGCTAAAAGGCCTGGGACACGGCACCCAGACAGAAACTCATCTCCTACTTTCAGTGAGCTGTACACACATGAATCTGCATATGTATTTTTTGTTCATCTTTTCTATATATGATCCACTACTATCGGCAAGGTGGAGACAGACTGAGGATTTTTTACTCCCCAGTTTGGACCCAAATAGTAAATAAATTCATTTTACAATGTATTATGTAATTTTCGTTTAGTAGTGCCGAGCATTTGGACCCGGCACCAGGCGCATTAGCCTGAGGCTCTGATAAAACAGAAAGGATTATTAAATTGCTAAGAACATGTGATCCTGTCTAACTTCCTATTTTATTACCGACTTAGACAATTTACAATTCTGTAAGGACAGACATTACAGATAAATATAAAATATTCTTATACCAATCTGTTTTGTGATCTTGAAGGACATTAGCGAGGGTATATCTAGATTAGCAACTGTATTAGAGCAGAGAAAACAGTCATTTTCTCTCTGCCTTCCTACATTCAATGCCTAGAGCTCAAAACCCAAACTGTTAAAAAACAGGTTAATAACAGAAAAACAAAGTTTTAATTTGGTATATATATTCAAGGGAATCTCACAAGCATTAGCCAAGACGCAAGCATTAAGCAAGCCTTGAAGTTTACATAGTATCTTAGGCTAAACAAAGTAAAAGAATATTTAGATTTGGGGACAAGTTATAGAACTGTAAGAAGCGAAGAAATATATGGAAAATAAGGGCTGACTTCTTAAGCAGATGAGTTTCTGAACCAGTGAGATGGGTCGGTGGTAAAGATGCCTGCTGCTGCTGAGGTGAGAAGCTGAGTTTGATTCCTGGGATCCATAGAGTGGAAGGAGAAAACTGTCTACTGCAGGTTGTCCTCTGCCTTCAACATGAACTGTGGTATACACACACACACACACACACACACACACACACACAAGGGCACCATGTCATACATACACACACACACACACACACACACACACAAGCACACTGTGACATACACACACCACACACACACACACACACACACACAAGGGCACTGTGTCATACACACACATAAATTAATTAATTAAAATGTAATTTTAAAATGGAAAAATAAGAGTTTCTTAGGTGACAAGAACTGTGTCTGGTGGGACACAAATTTATCAATAGAAATGTTCCATAAGAGAAATTTGTAGTCTATTTGGGAGGCAAGGGAGAGTTAAAGAGAGGTTATTTTGTTTTGTTTTGTTTTATAATCCACACGTCAAAGACACATATATTGGAGTGTGAACTAAATATCTCAGAAAAATAAAAGGCACGTTTCTTGTTAAAGTTCTGCAAAGCTGGTTGACCATTTAGAACGTTCATAATGACAGAGAGTTGAACTGTTGAAGGTCCAGAGCTAAATTATCTTGGGCTATCTTAACCCTACCCCCATCTATTGTCCATCTCTGCATTTGACAAAACATTCTTGTAACTAGTGGGTAAATCTCTAAGGAGTGTACTGACAGACCCCTAACTTTCACCAACACAAAGCATATGAATGTCTTCAGATAACATGGGGTCTATAGAAAGATTTTATCACTTTGCTGTAAACCACCTGCCTACTGATATTCTGAATGCCAATGCATTTTTTTCAAAGTTTTTTTTTTTGTTTGTTTTCATTTTAATTTTATGTGTATAAGTGTTTGCCTACCTGCTTCTGTGTGTACCACATGTGTGCCTGGTATTCATGGAGGGTG